TCCTTGTAGAACTCACAAAAACTATTTGTGGATTAAAACAAATGCTTCTCAAGATTAATCCTATTTGCTTAATGCTATTTGTATAAAAAACTTTGATTAGGCAAAATACAAGAAATGGAAACTACATTTCTTTATGCCAGGTTTGTGTTCCTCTTGGCCAGACATTTCAGTGCAACCCTGATCTGACAGGAATTGTCAGCTTGGTGCAAAGCCATGGGATGTCAGCTCCAACCAGCTCCTCTCAGCCCCAACTCATTCTGAATTGACTGTCTTTGAGAATCACGTGATGATCGTTGTTTTAAATTCCTGATGCCATATCTCTGCAAAAGTGAGGATTGAAACACACCTCCAAAAAATAGGCCATCCCTTCGAGAAAAGTGAAATGAACTCCTGAGATATGCATGTGACATAAATATGCATGAGCAATTTCTGTAGAATGGAAGCTTTACAAAAGACGGTGTTTTTTTAGCTTTTAGGAAACATTTCTCTGTGAATTAAAGACTGTCAAAGTGGCATGGTTGAAAAGATTTTCCTGCTATAGAGAGATGAAGCTTCAACTCCTCAAACAAATTGGCTTATCTAGAGAACCAAGTTGAGACAGTTGTTTTAGAGCCCTCTAAACACAGCAAGGTACCTACAGAGATTCTTTGCAAATTCTTTTGATATTGCCTTGTCTTAGAGAGTGCCAGACTCTTTCACACTTCAGAAGTGTGAGAGTTTTGCTTATCTTGGAGACTAAAGAACCCAAGAGATTAACAGAGATAGAAATAATAATGACCAAAAAAAAGCCTGTGCAAAAAAACCTGTGTGCCTCTCTAAAAAATGGGTAGACGTGTTTAATGTGATGGCATCCCTACTTTATTCTACTTTCAGAATCTAATTTTGCCCAGCACTATGTAAAATTTTCAGACTTTTTTTACAACTCCTATAGAGTCTATCCCTTATGCAGAGCAGCTTCCTCTTGGCACCCTTGCTGTGTGCATAGGCACTGTGCCCCTTTTCCAGTGCACTGATCAACATTAGTGTTTGGTGCCCATTTTTGGCAATTAACAGCCCTCTATCAGTGGTAAATCAGAGTTAAGGTGGTGGAAGTTTGAAAGAGGCTTCTGGGGTGATCAAATTCCTGTTTTAAAACAACATTGGAAATTACAGATTGGATGAGATTCTCTCTGTTCAGCTTTGCCTCCACATCATGAAGAAAGAAGTCTGGTCTTCGAAATTCTCTAGATTCAGATTTGGACTGAGCTGATCTTTAATATGAAAGTTTTAAGCTGGAAAATGAGGAGAAGAAAAAAATTTTAGTATGCCTATGGCTTTCAGCTTCTTCACTGTAATAAACCTATTCCAGATAGAGGAGTTCTGGAGAAGTCAGGCTCTGCAGAAGCATTGGCACAATTGATTAGTTGCAGGCAAAAACTGAAATAGAAGTGCATCATCTAAAATATGCAATACCTTTTGCACTGGGCTCTGTAGAAGTATTTTACTGAAAGGATCTGCTGCCAGCAAGACACCAGGTGGGCTGTGTCACTGCCTTTTTTGGTTCCTTGGGAGTAGGAAGGTTTAAACGAAGCAGATAATTTCTCAGTGGCATAATTTTTTTTAAATTGTTTTCTGGCTGAGGCCAAGCATTATTGTTCCTGGATAAACTGAGATTCTTGTGGCACCCGATGACTGATAGGGGACTGACTTGGAGCTCTTTCTGAGACGTTTTTTTTAAAGTTTGAGGTCTTTCAGTGTGTGAAACTTCTGGCTGTCCAGGAAATGCTTTATTGGACAGTGTCAGCTTCGGTACATTCCTTCTTACTGTAAGGTAATGAATTATGTACATATGGACCAAACTTCTGGTTGTAGTGGTATTTTTCTGTGCTCAGCGTGTTTTAACTCCTGCTTTCAAAGAAATACTTGAACTATTCTGGGGTGTTATTGTGGAAGAACTGGCTGACTTGGTACAATCATTCAGTCATTGTGAATGTACAGTCATTGAAGAGGCTCGGGTGCACTTCTAATCAATAGAAGCAGGCTTTTGTTAAACACTTATTTTTCCTCTGATGGTTGTTTTCTGGAATCTCTTCAGTAGTGTTGGCTCCTGAAGGTATTCATGTTTGTCTTCTGAATTCCCAGCCTTGTGAGCAGGATGTAGGATGTGGTGAGACCCCACTCAGCAGGCACAGCCCCAGTGTCGTTAGTTGTCTGCTCCTCTCCCACCTCTTTCCTACAGTTTGAATGTTATCTATTTTTAACATGTAAGAACTAGTACTTCCATGCCAAGGAGATGGTGGGTATGTTGCTACAACTGTCTGACTCTGGGACTTCTGTTTTGCCAGATCACATGTGCTGCAATCAGACAGTATCAAAAATTTTTCTGCTTCAGAGCTTTTATGAAAATGGTCTCATGTTCTGAAACAGACTTTATGAATTGAAAATGTTATTTTCTTGCATGCTTTTATGATGAAAGTAGTAAAATTAGCACTACAGCTGATCCAGTCAGTGCTTCCACTTGGATCAAAATAGGAATGGTCACAGATGCTTTGTTTTTCTTCTAGATCTGTTAATCTGGCATCTTTCTGGAGTGCTAATTCCACATTTTTCCAGACACATAACTTGTCTCAAAAGTATTTGATTGTGTTAGGATAGGTTGTTAGATTTCAGCAATGTGTGTGCTGGTACTTGTATTTCTCTTTCTCTACATTTTCATTTTTCAATATACTTGGCTCCTCCTCAGGGAACAATTAACTTCCTGGAATCATGATGTCGCAGTAGATGCTATACCTCAGGCTCTGGAAATCCAACTGAAAAATAGTCATTTTCATATGTTACAGATCAACTTCCCATTTAAGTCCGGCAGTTTGTTTTCTTTTGTCAGGATGGTAGTTCTTCCCTAGTGCTACTGAGAAATAGCTTCGCTGCTGTTAGAGAATGATTCATTACCATGTGGTTTGCATTTGTAGGAAGCCAGTCTTGTAGAGACCACATTCCTGGTGCTTGTTTGTTTTACAGTCTCAAATGCAGATGTTTTCCTTGTACAAACAAGTCAGAGGTGTCTGTCTGGGTCTGCCAGGCTGGGGGCTTAAGATAACAACCCATCCCAGGCTGTCAGTGGCACTTGATCCACGCAGACTGTGTGTGTTGGCAGCAGCAGCTCTGTGTGCCATGCTCCATCTCATCACAGGCTTCTGTGTTGGGAGGGAGGGAGGGAGGGAGGGCAGCGCTGCTTGGCAGCCTTTGTTTTCAGGGGGTCACATCACATCACTGCTCAAGTTGAGGAAGGTAACATGGCAGATCTTGCACAGCATGAGCTAATGTTGCGGTTCTTCTAGAAAAAGGATCACATGTACATTGAAAATTATTCTTTTATTACTGGAATTTCTTAGTGGCCAGCAAAGTGGACACATCAGAACGTAGAGATGGATAAGAGTCAGTTAAACACCCCATGTGCATCGTGTGTAGGGACTGCAATGGTTCAGCTCCCTGAACCAACACTGACAATGTCCAGTGCTGACAAATGCCAGTGCAGGACCGGGGCACTACCATGTGACAGCAGTAGGTCAGTTGTGTTGTGAAACTGCACCTCTTCAGCAGGGTGGACTTGAAAGAGTAATGGCTGTGCTGCCCCTGGGTTTGCAGAGCCTGAGTGTTTTGTAGGAGTGACCACTGCTTGTTTTTTCCTTCCAGGATTGTGTTGGTGTTGCTGTGTGTCTGTATTAAAAGTACATTGGATCTTGTGAATCACTTGTAGCAGGGTTCAGGAAGGCTTATGGCGCTTCAGCTGATGATTGGGACTGACAGCTTCTCTAGGGGAAAAAAAAAAAGCAAATCTTCCTGCACCTAGGACAGAAGGAGTTGTATTTTTTATGTGCACAGTAGAAATGCTTTGGTGATAGTTCATCTTGGTTCAGCTGAGTCTCACCTAAAAAATCCAATGCGCAGGCTGGAAGGTGTAAAGACCTTCCCCGGTTCTTTGTTCGCGAAGACTGGCCACTATTATAGTTCATCTTGGAGTGCAGGAGGCAGAGACCTTTTAATGCCAGAGGGTGTTTGGATGTAGAGTGTGCAGACTGTGAATTTGCCTTCCTAGCACGGAGAGGAATGAGGAGACATGGCTCGTGAGCCTTCTGAATTCCCCTGGAAGAGGTGTGTTTGCAGGACACCTACTTTGTTTGAACTCCAGGGCCTGATAAAGGCATGAAGGGGTCAAGAGGCAGGTTGAAGGTCTAGCAACTCAGCAGATGTTGGGTACAAGGCTTTTTGTGCAAGCAGATAAGTCCATTTTCTTCTGAAATAAACTAATACATAGAAGTGAAGGAGAACTTGTTTGCTAGTGCCCTTGTAGCATGACTTTAAATGTCATGTTGCAGTATTCTGGAGGGTGCTCAAACTAGCGCACATTGTGCTGGTGCTTGCCAAGAGTCCACGTAATGCAAGCAGCTCTGCATGGAAGCAGTCCCTGTCACAGTAGCTTTCTGTCTATTCCAATCCAGTGTGTAACTTCTCTGCAGTGAAAGGCTGGGAAAATGTTTCCTGTTTTCCCCATACCCTTTGCTGTCACGGCATCCCTGCGTTTGCAGCCTGTTGCTGCTTCTCCAGCTCAGTAAGTGGGATCTGTCTGCCCTGAGGTTCTGACTTTGCACATTTAATGAGGATCCTGATCCCAGTCTGGTCTGAGTCTCCCAAGTGGTGACCACAGTCAGGACTGGATGTGGGGCTTCCACGAGCAGTTAAGCTAATCCAGTGAATTTTTGATTCCTTCCTCTCTGTACTGTTGAAACTAAGTATGTGAGTTAGTTTGGGTACATCCATGCTTCATTCCAACTTTTATATTGCAGATATACTGGCTGTGAACATCGTGCCTGGCAGTTTATTGTGAATTGAGTATCACTGGGATATTGTACTGAGTTTGTACAACTTAATTTTAAATGAAAATCATAGTCCTAAGCAGAGGTGTGGCTTCAAAATGTGCCAAACTTGACTTTTTTTTTTTTTTTCTTTTATTTTCCACTTAGGTATCACATGCTGTTGCAAAGCTAGTATTAGTTAGTTTCCACTGGCAGATCTCAGAGATTTTGGAAAGGTAAGTGTAAATAGTCTTATCTCTTTTGTGCTCAGTGCTTTTTCCCTCGGCTTTGCAGAAATGCTCAGGGTGCTCCATAGGTGTGTTTTTGACAATTGTCTTTGGACCTGGAAGCAGGACATGCGATCCTTTCCAGGGAGCAGAGGAAAAACACTGACTTGTTGAGGCTGCACTGCCTGTAAGAAATTTGTAAACAGGGAGAGGGGAGTGGTGGTGAATGTCTTTCAATTTGAGGAATTACTGTTATGCTTGGAACCCCATAGATGCATTTATCTTAAATTTTTAGATAACAGATTGTTTTAACAAATAAAAAGATAACATATGTTCGTTCTGCTTTGAACAAATAAGTCATAAAGGAGCACCAAACCTATGCTGATGTGATCTTTAGTAGTACATCCATACTGAAGTTTTGCTCCTTCTGACATAAGTGACTTTTTTTCCCCAAGCTGACTAGTATTTGGAGAGCTGGAGAAGATGGTGTGAGAGAACTGAGAACTGCAGCCCCCTTGCTTGATCAGTGTCACTGTAACAGTCCTCCGACTGATTACAGAAGCAGGGTTCAGACTCTGCCCAAACATATGCGGGAAGTGTATCCAGAGGCACTGCTGGCTGGCAGTCCCTCCACAGAATATTGGCTCAGAACTAAACATTGTCTGAAAATAGAGAGAACACCAGCCTGACTCATTCTGCCATGCCATTTTTGGCCCTGTAGCCAGCAACTTCGTCCAGAGAACGTATGGAAAATGCATCTCGTATATGGATGTTGTTGCAGCATCTTTGGTAACTGTCCTATTGGTTGCCTGAAAGCTTTTCTCTGGAGCACAAAGAGGGTGAGATTCCCACAGAGCAGCTCAGGGTGATCCTGCATTTAAACTAGTGAGATTTAAACAAGAAGAAATTTGGGGAGGAGTTTATTTTTAAAGCTATAACTTTGCAAGTTGTTCTGTGGTTGATCTAGTCCTCAAACATCTGTCTTGATACAGTGACATTATCAAATGAAAGCTCTTTAGATCAACTAAGAAGTGCTAATGAGGAGGGAGGACTTACAGCATGGTCACTATAGTGATGCTGCTATTTCTGAGTTCACTGATATAAACATTCCTTTGCATGGGAAATCACAAACAGCAAAACGTGTTTAATTCGAAGGCTGCTGATAGACAGCTTCATATGCCTAAGGGGTGCTAATCTGTCACTGAGGAAATACTTAATTAGATAATAGACTGGAGTTAAAGTGAGATTTAACCAGGCTAGCTTGGTTTTACAAAGGAATAGGAGACAGACAGGAGCCTCACTGGAGTGTGTTATTGAGGACAGTGCTTAGGACTGCTCAAGGAGTGTGGATAGAAAATCTTAGCTTCAAAAATAATTGTTATAAAAAATAATCATCAAGAACTATAAGGAAAATGTTAATACATTACCAGGAGAAGTATTATTCTTGTTTTTGAAGAAACTATCATAAAGTTTTAATGAGAGCTCAGCTCTCTATGAAAGAGTCTCACACAGGACACATTTCAGCTTCCCTTGTTGAAACCTACCCTACCATTTGCACAGAGCCAATCATTAATTCAGGCAAGAAGGATCAATTTATTAATGCAGAGTGTGTTCAGAAATTGATTTGATCATTCTTCAATTGCCTTTTCAGGCACAAGTCTAATGCTGCCCAATTGCTAGTAGAAGCACGAGTTCAGCCCACCTCATCCAAACATGTAAGTATGATAACTATCTCAGCCTGTTCCCTTGGCAGACACTTCTGACCCCCCTGTGGGGGATTGCATTACTAATGGCATAGTCTGTCCCATGTTAACCCTTTGCAAACTCAGGTCTGACACCCAAATTCAGTGCTGGCTATACTATTTAAATGATAATGCCTTCAAGAGGTGTCTAATATTTAAATAGTTGCTTTGCTATTGGCTTGCAGGTAGTGTTCAAGCATTACTTTCTTCAAGAAATTTAGGATCATTTTTTGATGTGAGTGATGGTACACAGTGGAAGGAGCACAGTGCACAGACTTGGCTGCCTCTTCCAATTCTGTTCTCTGAAAAAGACACTCAAGGGAAGTTTTGGCTGCATGGAGCGAACAGAGCTTGTCTGTGGCTGGAACAGAATTTTTTTTTTTTTTTTTTTTCACCCTGCACTGCTCAGCTTAGAGATGGTTAAGCTGAGTCTCCCAGTGAGTGGTGGTGTTGCTGAGCCAGTCAATACTGATATGTGACCAGCAACTTGTGTTTTGCAGCCAGGGCTACACAGGTCTTCAGATACTTCCCCCACCCCCTTTAAATAGAAACATCCTGTTGCATGTTACAGATTTCATTCACAGTGGGTGTCTTGGTACAATGCACAGTTACCCCAAGAACACATTGCCATGTGTCAGGTTTTGAGTGATAAAATACTACATCTGGGAAACACTCATTGGGTTGGGGGGAAGGGGAGATGTTAAAAGCCTGGTCTGGCATCTGAGCTGTCTTGTAACTAGCAGACAGTGAAAATACTAAAAGAGCTGACAGGAGTGGAAGCTTCAGGGACTCAAAATAAATTATCTGCCTAGAGTCCAGAAAAAAAATAATTTTTGTTATTTGACAGACCTGCAAAGTAGTCCATATATTTTCAGATATGTCTGAATCTTTTGTCAGCTGTCACTTAAGTACCCCCCACTGCAATGGTGATTTCTCTTTGGGCAGAAAGATATTATGGTTAAAAGGTTAATTTGAGTCTTGACAAACTTTGTTAGGCAATTCATTACAGTCTATTTGTGTGTGCTAGGGCAAACTGCTCTGTGCTTTGGCTTCCACTGCAGAATAATGACATTTTGGGGGCAGGTGCTCATGGTGAGTGTCTGTGGAGGGACTGACTCCTCAGGGAGAAACTTCAGTGAGCTCAGAGAGGCAGCTTGTGAGGGTTTGAGGTAGCGTGTGTGCTGTTCAGGTTGAGCAGCTGATCCAGGCAATCAGTGCAGTTTCAGACACAGTGAATCTTGTTCTGGTCCATAAGTGAGGCCACTTGCAACAGTCATATTATTTCCTTTTTTTACATGGCCATGCCATAAATCAAGCTCTGTCAGTCATGTGGCTGCATATCATGCTGCTGCTCCTCCATGTCTCTGGCGTGCAGAGCTTGGCATGGAAACTGATGGCGGTCTCACACCAGCTTCTCAACAAGTGGCAAAGGTTTCAGTAGACAAAAAGTGATTATATGGCTTCTCTGTGAAAGGAGAAATTGGAACATAAGCTCCTGCTGACAGCTTTGTAGAGCCTTGTTTTTGATGAAGCTGTGCTAGACCTGGTTCTGCAGGTCCAAGGGGTGAGCAGAGATGTGTTGAAGGCTGGATCTGTTGTCTGGGGATTAGCTCTGCACTACCCAGGGGGAGACCAGACTGCTTCTCAGTGGTTTGGTGAAGCAATAGCAGAGTTATGCCTGATTTGAAACAAACCCTCTTAATCCTTTTCTTCTGAAGGGATGATGCCTACTTTGTCAAATGTAGCATTGGCAGAAGATAGGAGATAGAAGACGATAGTCTGCGAATTCTCTTTCCTCTCTGTATGAACAATTTCATTTACATGCTGCACTTTCAGTTGCCTCTCCTGTTACCCAAAATTGTTGTCCAGTAAAAGGACATTGCTAAGCCTGCTTCCAGCCATAGGTTCTCTCCAAAGCCCGTGGAACAGTGATAGTCTGGTCCAGCTAACAAAGAATATCAGTAAATCCATGGAATGCCTAATAAAAGGATTTATTTCTTTGTTTTTCAAAGAAGGCAAGAGTAAGAACCAGAAAAGTAAAGGTGAGTTCTGGATAGCACTAGTTGAGAGGCAGGAACAGTTCAGTACTGACAACCTGCTGTGTTCTTTGAGATTAAAGAGGTTCTTGAGAAGGACTGACTTGTTTGGGGCAGTGCAGCACCTCAGCACACCAGCTGCTTATGAACCTGTTCTGGCATGGAGCTCCCCTGAGACATTGTCACAGCAAAGGTGATGCAGGTGCCTGTGGATGAGGTGAAAACACTCTGGGAGAGCTGGGATGCTCTCACTGTAATGCTGATTTGTGTCTCTCCCAGGCAATGGTACATTCCTCCCACCACTGCGCCGTGTGCATGCAGTTTGTCCGGAAGGAGAACTTGCTCTCTCTGGCTTGTCAGCACCAGTTCTGTCGCAGCTGCTGGGAGCAGCACTGTACAGTGCTCGTCAAGGACGGGGTTGGAGTCGGTGAGTTCAAGGTGGACACGGTGCTGGGTTTGTATTTGCCACACTGGCCATTCTGATGAGTAAAGAGCATGACTGTAATAAGTTAGAAACTGCAAATCTACTGCACCTTGAGTTTGCATCTGTGATGATGTTCTGTTGCAATGCCCCTGGAGTGCTTGTGGATGCAAACATCTGTTCCCTTTGTCTTGGGTAAAAGCCATTATGTGCCAGAGTTGCTTTGGGCATTTTCTAGCCTGTTTTTCATGCTGGTATGGCAGTAGCTTACAGTTTTCTAATTTAAGTGTCTGACCTTGTGAATACAAGCACTTTCCAGTCCTGAGTACACATGCACCCTGTCATCTTTTGGTGCAGACAGTTGGGCTTCAGCTTTTCAGCAGCCCCTGATTTGTTTCACAGTTGTGTCCCTCTTGCCACAACAACAGATGGCACCTAGGAAACTGTGTTGAATGCTCTCTGTGCATTCACTCCTTGGTATAAACTGCACTGTGGTAAGATGTTGCTTTCTTAGGGGTCTCCTGCATGGCTCAGGACTGCCTACTTCGGACACCAGAAGACTTTGTGTTTCCATTGCTGCCTAGTGAAGAGCTGAAAGACAAATACAGGCGCTACCTCTTCAGGGACTATGTGGAGGTAGTGGGTTTTTTCATTTTTAGGATACCCTGGCTCAAATCGCCAATGACTTGCAGTAATTTTGTTTCAAGTGTCTTGCATTTTTGATTAGAACTGCAGTAACTGCAGCAAAATTGTCCTCAATAAACATGATGTGGCGGCTCCTGTAAGACAGCCTCACTGGCAAAATAGTCTAGCAGGTTGCCGAAGTAAATTCTGCTGTAAGGTCACCCAGTAACTCCTTGGCTGGTGCTTTAGATTTCTTAGAGCATTGCAGCTGAGAATTTTAAAACTTCAATCTGATTTTTCAAGTTCTTCTTGTTCTTACATAAATATTTTTAGGTTCTGAAAATAGGTCCCTCATCTTAGCCCAGCTGAATTGGCTTGCTCAATTACATTTTATATGAGGTATTTTGAAATTAAAGCAGCAGTTGTTAAGGCTAAATGTGCAGGAGTGTTCTGGTAACTGGGAACAGACTGGGAACACTCAAGAAGCAGCAAAGCATTATGAGAGTGGTGTCACCTCTCCTCAATAAAGAGACCCTTTTGGGAAGGAGAGCAACTGAATAGCCTCTGTGAGATAAGGATGGGAAAAGAGCTCAAATGGAGTAAAACTGTTTGTTCCTGTTGACTGTTAATGGGGTCTTAATAGTTGTATTGCTGTGCTGACTTGGTCTGTAACCCTCCATTTGAATTCCCTGTTCTAGAGAAGCTGTAAGTAACTAATAAACCTCCTCAGCATTAGAGAAAGGAGAATCTGTTTTGTTAGCCAAGACCTGGTAACAGTTGTCAGTTCTTTTGAGTAAGAAATAACTGACTTGTATATCCTTGAGGATAGGAGTGGTTAAAGTTGATCAGATTTCTTCTGCACCCACTGCTGATCTTACCCCTTGGTGTGCCCACAGAGCCATTACCAGCTGCAGCTGTGTCCTGGTGCAGATTGCCCTATGGTCATACAGGTACAAGAGCCAAAAGCCCGGCGAGTGCAGTGCAATCGTTGCAATGAGGTCTTCTGGTAAGGAACAGGGAAGGTTAAAAATCACGGGGGGAAGTGTGTGCTGTCCTCAGCGCTACTCTGTTTGCTTGCCAACAGCTTTGCTGTGTGGAAGCATCTTCAGTGCTTTGCTAGAGTGGTTTGTAACTTGAGTTAGCTTGAGTAACTGGACACTTGGGGTCTGACTTCTGCAGGTGGTCAGCCATCCCCTCGCTCCCTAAACTCCTTGGAAGTTGGGCGTTCTGACAACCAGGGAATGCAGGGCTTGAGTAATCAAAGGGTTACAAATCTAGCGTTTGGACATTTTGGCTTGGTTACAAATTTTCCTACAGACATAGCAACTGATAGATATTCTGGGAGTGAACATGGAGTCCTCCCTGCTATATCTGCTTGTATCAAGTTTTTAAGTTTATTACAAGTGTTTGACTCCCAGAGTGTCTGGGAAATACATTTTGAGACTCATGCAAGAATACATTTCTGCAGAACAGGGCTGCTAATGTTCCCTGTCTAACGTAAGTGGATATAGAACCAGAGAAAAAAGGTAGTTTGCAGGGCTGCTGAAGTGTCTTCTGCTCTTGGGTGTCTAGAATCACTGCTGCCAATGTCTGTGGAGCACAATGCAAACAGTTTAGAGAACCAGCTTACTGGTATCTCCATGCAAATGGTCCTTACTCACCTGGGGCTGTCAGGTCACATTAATGCGGGTACCTGGTATCTGCCACTGAAGTCAAGCTACTTGTAAGTCACTATAGTGCCCCAGGCCTCTGCAGTGATGTTAGAGGAAACACAGATTCTAGGTAGGGACATGTCAGCCCTCAAACACATGATGTGTCAGGGAAAGCCTCAGTTCACTTTTATCTTGACTCTGGTTTCTGCACAAGAGGGTGGGGGAGATGGAGTTCAGCCTTGGTCTTTGCGCTCTGGTAATACACAAGAGCGTTTGTATCCCTTGCTGGGCCTCCCAGATTTTGGTCAGGAAAACCTCAATCCTTGAATCACTTCCTTGGAAATCGATGTGTCTTTCTCTTTTCCCCCCCCCCCATTAAGCTTTAAGTGTCGGCAGATGTACCACGCGCCCACGGACTGCGCTACCATTCGGAAATGGCTCACCAAGTGTGCAGATGACTCTGAAACAGCCAACTACATCAGTGCTCACACTAAAGATGTAAGGCCTAGCACCTGCATGTTATTTCTTGTCCTCTATCCCCTCCAGGGAAGCTGGATGCAATTCTATACACACATAGCATTGTGTTCTGCTTTTTCACAGGCTGCAAATTCTCACAGCTCCCTAGGGACTGTCAAGAAGCTTCTGTCAGAAGCTACTGTCATATGTAAACTAATTATGTTCCTATGCCTGTGATATAACAACTGAGTGCCTTGGGAATGCTTTGTGTAGGAAGCCCAGCTGCCCTTCTGTGATGAGGACCTGGTGGTCCTTATTCCAGACCTGGTGTGAATGTCTTTGGCAACCAGGTGTGCTGTCCTCCCACAGGCAAAAGAATTGTGACTACTTTGAAATGATCAGTGGAGATGTCTTTAAAATGGAAGGAGAGGGTGCAGTAAGTGTGAAATCAGCATCAAATAAGGCATCAGTGGTGTTTAAACCTGAACAACTTTGTGGAGTACTGTGAACTGGAAGGTGAGGGAGACAGTCATGATTTGGCAATGACAGCAAAATGGGGTAGTTGAACTCTGTAAATTAGGCATCAGAGTATTTCTAGTAGATTTAGATCCAAGACAAAGAAATAGTTTACACATTATGTACTCTAACCTACCTATAAAATTGCCTTTAAAAGTAACAATAGCAAATTTGTTTTCTTGAGCAAATAGTTCAGTGCTGCAGTGTAAATTCCTTGGCTTTGCCTTTCTGTCTTCTTTTAAATGGAGCTATCAGGAATAGGTGGGAGGCAGGGTATAAATGTTAATATTCTCATGTACACATATGCATATTTAAAAAAAAATAAGACAGAGAGGAATAATCACACGAGTGCTGTCATTCTTCAGAAGGCTACTGGAGACAGAGTTGGATCTAACAATTGCTTCTGTTTCCTCAGTGTCCCAAGTGCAATATCTGTATTGAAAAGAACGGAGGCTGCAATCACATGGTGAGCAATTCCCTGAACGCGTCAAACCTCCCTTGTTCTAAGTGGAATTTTTTCCCCCCTCTTTGCACTAACCAGTGCTTCTCGTCTCTTCTCTTTCAGCAATGTTCCAAATGCAAGCATGGTAAGTTGGATTCGGAAGAAGTTTTCTCTGCGGTCTTTCCTGGTGGTAATGGTCTCTTCTTTTGTGCTATGAAGAGAAATTTTGAACATTTGCTGAAATATTTTCCCCCTAGTAAAAGGTGAACAAGACATTACATACAGACTTGTGTGTGATAGGTTTTTTCCCACTGGCTGCGATCTCAGCTGGGTTCTGATTCAGTGCTGGTTTGGCTCCCACGCCTGACATATCCACTGTATAGAGAAGTCTCCAGAATATTAACAGTGGAATCCATCTCAGAAGAGAGATGGATATTAAATTTCCATGGAACTGTATTTGTCATCAGCTGAAAATACTGTCAGAACTGAACCATTTACTCAGTTCTTCTGCTTACTGATGGAAATAATGAGCTTCAATCCAGATGAAACTTCAGGAGCTGTGAATTGTTATATGTAGCTGTTGGACTTCTCAGTCCACTCCTGTGCAATTACCAACCTGAGTGTCTTTGGCCCATTATGTGGTCCTATGAAATGACAGCCTGTTCTTGCACTTACTTTCTCATGGCAGAATTAATTTCTGTTGCCTTGTAGTGAGACAGTTGTATTCAGCCCTCTGAGCTTTGTGTGCCACTAGAAACTGTTACAGTATCAGAACCTTATTGGGAAGATAGTTAAAGATTACTGTCCTCTCTCATTTCCTCTGCTTTGGGGTTCTCAGCAGCACTGGACGTGCTTTGATGGAGCTCTGTGACAAGGGTGAGCAGGCAAGTGCCACGGTACCATGGGGACTAGCACTTGAGAAAACTGGTGACCTCTGGAAATGCAGACTTCGGTTTCTTTACCATGAGTAACACAGAAATGATTCTTATTGTAGCAACTCAATCTCAGTCTTCTTTCCTTCCCAGTAGAACACCCACAGCCTCGCCTGAAATCAGAAAATTGTCACGTGGGTTTTGCTGTTGCTCTCTTTTCTTTACTTTCTTCCCAATTCAGCAGCTCCTAACTTTGTGTTATAAACCCCTGACATCTGATATTACCTGGGTAGTTCCCTTCTGAAGAGAACCGAGGGCAGACTTTCTTTTGCATGAGTTAGTTCACTTTTGGATGTGACTGTTTATGTTTTGTTTAGACAGAGGTTTGCATGGGGCGTGTGCCATGGTGGGGAGGAGGCAACTCACAAAAAAGACTCTGCAGCCTGCCTCTTCTTTAACTTGGAATGACAGCCTGTGCAGGGTGCAGGTACGGTTCTGCCCAGTGGTCTTGGTGTACAGGATGCAGAACTTCAGGATTTACTTTCCGTAGTTGCATGGGAGGCTGTACAATTAAAATCTTCAAGGCAGGCTGGTATTTTTGGCTCACTATTGAGTTCTGTTATGTAAGATGATACAAAATGTGTATGTTTCTTGGCTTAGCAGAAATATCTGAAAACAGATGGGCTGTGCCTCCTGAAGCTTTTCTTTCTCAGAGGTTTTTTTCTGTGCCTCACAGTGGGTTTTTTGCTGTTTTCTGCAGACTTCTGCTGGATGTGTCTGGGAGACTGGAAGACTCACGGCAGCGAGTACTACGAATGCAGTCGGTACAAAGAGAATCCTGATATTGTAAACCAGAGTCAGCAAGCACAGGCCAGGGAGGCCCTTAAGAAGTACTTGTTCTATTTTGAGAGGGTAGGAGACATCTCCTTGGCCAGAGCTGCTGTAGCCTTTTAATGCTCCCTGCCTGGTGCAAAGGTCATTGCCAGCAATCTCCGTGCAAGAAACTGCCCAAAGAGAACCTGTGCAGAATTTTCAGGCTCTGTTTTTCACTCAAAATCCTGCCCTGTGAATCCCATTCAAACCAGTAATGTCATACCCAAAGCAAATCACATTTGGTCCTATATTCCCTTGTGCTAGAGAAAATCAGTATTACTTGTATGGCACTGTACCATTTACCTGCAGGCTGAGTGCCACTGCAGTAGATAGATATCGCTCCAATCATTTCCTTCCAGGACTGGGGAACTTCAGTTCCTTGAAATCTGTCTTTATAGAGGCAAAGAACTAAATAAACTCTGCCATGTTCAAAGCTCCATTGGCTCTAGCAAAGTTTTACTAAAATTTCATGTAATCACATTTTTTTAAGTTGCATCTCTGTCCACACAGCAGGCTCCACGCACCTGGCCATGCAGAGCAACTCTACAGCAGCATCTGTAGAAGAGAGTGTGGTAGAGGTTAAATACTGGTGCATTTCAGTTTCCCCATTAAAATGAGTTTATTTTTCACAGCATGAGCCAAGTCCTGTGGTAAAATAAATATATTCTTTCCTGGTTCTTCAGAACAACAGGCTTTGGGAAATAGCCATGTTTACAATGTGCACATAGAAGTTGGATTTCACTGAGCCTGTGTTAAATGTTAATTTGAACTCTTAACCTTTCTATAGAAATCCTTTAAGTAGGGGAATCGCCATGTCTTTCCATCTTGTTAGGCACAAGGTCGCTGTGTGACTAGAGGGCATTCCCACTCAGAGGAGCTGGGAGTGCTCCCTGCTCTTTGCTGCCGTCAGTCTGTTTACAGCCTCTGCCACTTGCTACTGGAGGTGCTGCCTTGCTGTTCTTTCCCACAGCATGTCTTGCCTTGCTGGACTCCTGCCCCACTCCAATTTCTGCTTGCTAGAGCTTGTGCTTTTTCAGCAGTAGTACTCTGGTCTCATGCCACTTTTTCTTTCCCTGTCTCCCCACCCCTTGCAGTGGGAGAACCACAATAAAAGCCTGCAGCTGGAGGCACAGACATACCAACGAATCCAGGAGAAAATCCAAGAAAGAGTTATGAACAACCTGGGGACATGGATAGACTGGCAATACCTACAAAATGCTGCAAAACTACTTGCAAAGGTGGGTAATTGTGTCTTGTTTGGCACAGAGAAAATACAGGCCAGAATGCTGAATTCATAGTACCGATTAAGGAAGGAAATTTAAGGGTTGTGGGTATGTGGAATAGTGCCTCTGGTCTAGGAAATGAACTAGATAAAAATCATCTGGAAGTGACTTCTGTGAAGTTATACTTCATGGTATACAGAGCTGCACAAGTTCTTCCAAGGAAAGCATAGGAAATTCTACCACGAAATGTCCTTGTTAGGAGGTAGCTTCTTAGGCTGTAGTGACCACACACATGTGACTCAGCTGACTTCCAAGTCTGAGACTCTTGTCCTTTTCTCTCTCTTCCTTCCTCTCCTGGGCAGTGTCGTTACACCCTGCAGTACACATATCCGTATGCCTACTACATGGAGTCTGGTCCCAGAAAGAAACTGGTAAGATGTTTTGCCTTTATTTTGTTGGTAAATTTTTGGGGTGTAGCTGGCAGCATGCTGGGCTGAATTCCAGAGCTTGACAGTGTCTGAAATATTAGTCCTGAGTTTGAGGTAAGGACAGGACAAATAGGCAGTTTTGCACCTTCCCTCTTCACTTTGAGTTGACCAGCAGCTCTGTCATCTGATGCATTACATTATTTTCCCAGGGGACTTCACTGCACTTTCACTAACAAGCCATTTATCCAGAATGTTTTGAGGCTGGAAGTGTGCGTTTGTTCCTTGGTAAGATTTATCCCAGTGCTATGGGCCGTATTTCATGTGAAGAGCTGCTGGAGGAGAGCTTGTCCAGCCTTGAATCAGGGTGTAGCTTTGCTTTTTATTCCTGCTGTAATTTCCTTTGTTGCTTGGTACATCTCATGGACTGGACATGTTCAAAAATAACCCTGAATTCACTGCAGAGTTTTGTCTTTGACTCGACTGTCCTGTAAAACCTGTTGTAGAATCTTTCCCCATGGGATCATGTGTTCTCTGAGGCTGTGGACAGATGCTCTCTTCTCGATCTGACTGTGCCAGTGGAACAAGTTGCTACTCCCAGCAGTGGTTAACAATCTCTCCACTCTGCCTGCAGAGCTGCTCATGGGAGCATTTTCTGACCTGTTTATGACAAAATGAGCTGAGTTAGAAGATACTTGTCACTTGCAGTGTTTTTAGGCTGAGTTATTCACTGAGTGATGCAGGTTGGGGAGTGCTTACACAAGAAACTCCCAGAAGGGGTGATGCTGTGTAACTGAAGGTGGATAAGGAGGAGACACAAACCTGCTCTGCCAGCACAGCTGTCAGCAAAACGCCTTTGTCTGCTCCTCAAGTGTGGTATGGAAACTGTGTGGTATGAAACTGCTCCACTAAACTAGTTTCTTTTTGCTCTCTCTAATTTTGCTCCTTGCAGTTTGAATACCAGCAGGCCCAGCTGGAAGCTGAAATTGAAAATCTCTCATGGAAGGTGGAGCGAGCAGACAGCTATGACAGAGGGGTGAGTGTTCTGCTTGCTTGAGCCTGCTGACCAGATTTTGTTTGTTGGGCTTAACACTTCTGCAGGAGCACTAAGGTAGTCAAGTGAGAGTTCTGAGAAACTAGGTCCAGAAACCACCTTCAGGCAGCAGATGTTGTAGAAGCGGAGTGCTCACTGCTAATGGAAGGGGAAGATGGGCTGCAGGGAGTCCTGCACACTGAAATGGGACATACAGAGCTCTGGAGGAGGCTCTGGGTATCCCTCTGGTGAAGAGCAGTGTAGTGGTTTAGGCAGAGCAGGAGCCAGTCAACTGCAGAGGGAGCCCACATCAAAAGCAAGAGGATCTGGGATCTTGTGATCCAGAGTGCGTGTGAAGTGTGACAGTTGGTGCTCCTCACATGGAGTTTAGTCTCCCTGAGGAAAATGAGCTCTTCTCTGGAAAATGTGTACTAACAGTTTGTACTATTCTGTTTTACCAGGACTTAGAGAATCAGATGCACATAGCAGAGCAGAGACGGAGGACCCTGCTGAAAGACTTCCACGACACATAAGACAGGAGGAAGTGACGAAGTGCAGGGGTGAGAGCAGCGAGTGAAGTGATGGCAGCTTCACTGGGATAAGCAGGCACTGCCTCTGGGAGAACATGGCCAAGGACAAAGCCACCCCTCCCCTTGCAAGTCAGACACATGCAAACACCACATCTTAGTCCAGTTTGTTCTCTTATCTTTCTGTTTCTGTTTCTGCCAGGCTAGAGGCCAGAGCTCAGATTGGCATATTTCCTGGGCCATTTCCCTCCTGCCTTTGATGGTTTCAGAAGGGGAGGGAGTTTTTCTCTGAATGGCTGTTAATAGTATTAGATCATTACAGTTTATGTAATTTTCAACGGTTGTACAATTATACAGACAAACCTTAGAATAACACACAACCCTTTTTAAAAATAAATTGGCAGTGGAGTGTTTTTCCTTAATCTGCTTGTAAATTTAATGGGCTTTTCCCCCTCTCCCTCTCCCTTCCTCTGACCCAAAAATCCTCCTAGGCACTGGAGGAGGTTACAAAATATCTCAGCTATATTTCCCGATGCTCCTTTAACCAGGGCATTGTAGCATTGGCATTGCATGAGGAGAGTGGCTGGTGTTAAGGGTGGCTGCTGCTGTGTCTGGCCCGACAGTACCAGCAGTGGCTGTTATTCAGTATGATTACATGTGACATCTCTTTTCTTGTCAATCAGCTGTGCAAAATCCAGCTACACAAACAGAAGCAAACAGAGGAATTTCAAGGGACAGACCAGGTTAACATTGGGGGATATGCCTTGAGTTTGAGAGAAATCAGATTCTGCATTTGATGGATTTTAGGTCTTCCATGTAGATTTTTGCTTTACTTGTTTTTGTGGGGAGGATGTTGTATTGCCAAAGTGAGTGATGAAGGAGTAGTAGCATACAGTTGTTAATCAAGGCTTGGGGCTTTTGCAGAGTGAAAGAATCCATGTTATAACAGTGCCATGCAGCCTGGTAAAGATTATTTGTGCCTCCTGGGTAGCATGGCTAAGAAAATTTGATTTCATTCATTAAAGTGAGACTGAATACCACTACGTTATGAGGAAGAAAGATTATGTACAACACACTCCCTGGCACGTGTTGGCAATGTGGTTGGGCACTTGAATACAGGTGCACTACTCGTGCAGGGCCTGCACAAAGCCAGGCAGAAAATTAACTAGCAAAATTAATTTATTTGTATATTAGTATTGATGCTGGTGGGGACTTATCAGAAAATTGATTGTTAGGAGCATGTGGAGCTTTTTTATTAACATTCTTTTTTCTAATGTAAAATATACACTAAAATAAAAATATGAAAACCTAGTTCATCTTAGTAGGGGTTAACATGAAAAAGATTGCTTAAATGCTGATCCTTGCCTGTCTGCTACAGGAAGCAGGCCACATGTTAGTATTTCACAGGCATGTGTGTCACCTGCACCAGGAGCTTGTTGTTTGCAGCCAAAGGTACAGCCGGAGTCTGATCTGAGGAAATCTTCACCTCTGTGGGGAACTCACAGGATTCTCTTCCATGCTCTATGTGGAAGTGTTGCCTTTGATCTATCTCTGTATTGTTCTTATGCAATGTCACTTGATAAAGATTAAACTGGAGGGGGGAAAAGTGCTAAATTCTTGCATGTCAGAATAAGCTCACTCCACTGTTGGAGCCTCTTTCATGTACCTGAGACACATAATCCAGGTATTTGCAGCAGGTATAATTGGGCTGATGGATTTTATCAAGAGCGATGCATCAGTTTAAAAAATGAGTAGCTGTCATAGGACCTAATCCTGTGGCCGTGCTTGTTGTACAGAGCAGAAAATTTCAAACTGAGAGGCCTTTTCCTTCCTCCCTCCCTTCTTTGGTGTGGGATGTACCCTCAGGGAGCAGGGGAACATGCTGTGAGGAGTGGCGTTACAACGGAAGAGGCGGAGGGTAGGGAAGGGTTTTGGAGAGATGACTGGAGCCAGGGAGTGGGGCAGGGAGGGAGTCTCATTTCTGGGAGCAGCACTGCTTGCTATGCAAGAGATCTCCATAGCCATGGCTTCATGTGTTCCAATTCTGTCCTGTTCTGGCTCCTCTCAAGGTTGGAGCCGTAGAGGTAGATATGTCCTTGCTCCAGCCACTGTCTCCTGACTTTATTCCCTCTGCACCCAGCAGCAGCCTCTTTGTGCCCTCCTCTGTATTCTAGAAGTCAGTCTCTTCCTTCCTCTCCCAAATGATTGTCAGTCAGGGCAGGCTGCACCCCCAGGAAGGGTTTATTGAGACCCCAGCAGTTTGCAGTGCATAGAACCAATGTTTAAACTGTTCTTTAAAAATGTAATGTGCAAAGTACTGGTTAGGATAAAAGCTGGTGTTCTTATTGTCTAAACCTAACTCTCTTAACACCTAATCTCTTTGCAGAACAGATATGTGGAGTTCCCTAATCCCCTATCACTTCTCTTACATAATTGTCCAGCTTTGAGCTAGATGAGAATGGAGTTTTGTTTCTCTCCCTCCCTGCCTCCTTCCCTCCCTCCCTCTCCTGTGCCCCCACAAAATGCTTTGCTATGAACCCTTGTTTGTAGACAAGCCAAGCTGTGGCCAGACTTGTTGAACAGGCTGCTGAGATGCTTGGCTGAGGAACAGTAATAAGGGTTGCACAGTGCACCCCCTAATTCTTTCAAATTTTCTGAAACTAGAACTTTGTCAACAGTTCCATTTATTTTTAAACAAAACAAAACATCCTTTCTGAAGGTGGTGAAAGTCCTGGGTTGCACGCACAGATCCTGTTGCTGTACTCTGGGAAAACAACAGAACTTGCTTTTGCAGCGCAGGTAGGGCGACTTCTGTATTGGTGTTGTACAGAAAGTCGTGGACTCCAGGACAAAACCTGCAGAGCACAAGGGCTGCTGGCTCTGTGTGTAAGGTGGCTGACACAGCTTGAGAGGCAGGTGACAGGAGGGAAACAGGTTCTCAACACCCAAAGACAAGGCCAGTTTTTTCCCCTCTAATAGGTACAGGGCCCTCTTTGAGTCAGCAAGGTTACATGGATGAAGGTGAATAGAAAGTGGCTCAGGAGCCATTAATCTCGAGGTACAAATTTCCCTTTGATGCATTACTGCTACGGACGTGGAATGTTTGCTCTCTTTTTTTCTTTTTTGCACTTGTTTCCAGCTCCTGCGCCAGCCTAGCACCTCTCCATCCTTGCATCTGGCACTCTTTTATTTTGGCTTCACTTGTTTTGGTGCATTGGCTGCCTCATCTCTGATAGTCCTCAGGCTTCCCAGACTGTAACAAAACGTTTTCTACTGATACCATAAACTGCATGACTGCTGCCCTGCGTGCGGTGAAGGCGCTGTGCCCGCCTGCGGATTCGGCAGCAGGAGGTTTCTGTACTATAGTCTTGCACTCTAAATTTTAGACTTTTTAAACAGGTGAAGAAAAAGAAATAGAACTTTATTTTTAAATGAGGCACTTGTTCTGGGAATTCCTTTCCTGGCCCCGGTCTGGTTGGGGTTGTTGGGCTGTGTGTTTTGGGGGGGGGGGCTCAGCGCTGCTGCCACCCCTCGCTTTTTCTTCCCAGGCACCGGAGAGGGGCAGGGGCGGCGGAAACCGCCCGGGAGACGGTTGCCAGAGGTGTGCCCGTGGTTTATTTGAAATAAATTGTGACTTTCTAACTTCGGCGGTGTCCCGGCTCTCCTTGGCGGCGGGATGGGGACGGGGTGGCGGGGGGGTGTGGCTGCTGGCGCTGTCCCCGCCCCGCGCTGCCGCAGCGCCCGCCGGGCCGTTGCCGCGGTGACGCGGGGCCGGGCGGGCCGGGGCGATGGCGGCGGCGGAGGCGCGGGCCGAGGGTCCCCCGCTGCCCGGCCCGCCGGGGGGCCGCCCGCGGCCCGTCTGCTCCCGCCCCTACTTCCTCGTCCTCATGGTCTTCGCGCACCTCTACGTGCTCAATGTGCTGGGGCTGCTGCTCTTCGTGCACCTCAGCGCCGGCGAGCCCGGCGGGCCGCCCGCCGCCCCCGCGCCGCCCGCACCGCCGCCACCACCCGCCCGCGCCCTCCCGCGCCTCGAGGGCATCAAGGCAAGAGCGCGACCCGGGGGCTGGGGCCGGGGCCGGGGCCACCGCTGCCGCTGACCGCTGCTCTCCCCGCAGGTGGGCCACACGCAGCGGGTGGAGCTGGTGCCCGGCAGGGCCCACAGCGTGCGCACCCTCAGCCTCAAGCCGCTGCTCTTCGGTGAGTACCGGCCCCGCCGGGGGCAGCGGCCGAGCCCGGCCCTGGTGGCGGAGGGGTTTGCGCTGCCCTGACGGCGGAGGGGTGTGTGTGTGTGTGTGTGTGTGTGTGTGTGTGTGTGTGTGTGTGTGTGTGTCTGACACCCGCCGCTGCCTTACACCCACGCGGGGGGAAGTGACTTCTCGCGTGTTTACATCACCTCCCTGTGCTGCTGCCCCTGGGGGCTGCGTTAAGAACGTTGTGGTTTCGTTTAAGGTATTTTGGTGCGGTATTCTCAGTATGGATGCGGCCTTACTCGTTGTGGATGGTCTGCTTTGAAGAATTTGGAAAATTACCCTTTCCAGGTTTTTCAGATTCCCTTTAAAAATACCTGGGATAGCTGGCGAGGACCTCGAAGAAACTGCACAGTATTAGGAAGGGGCAAGAGATCCCCAAACTTTTGGTAATAAACTATGAAAGAGAAATTTAGTGTTGGTGCTTCAGCGCTGAGGAAATGAGTAACGGGAGAATTGACAGATTTCATGTTTTCCACAATTTTACATCCTGTTCCAGATTTATCTTTATTTTTGGCTGCTCTGATATACAACCACACAACATCCGTCTCTGAGATATTTTAAAACATTCTTTACCTTTCTGTGATTTTTTTGCTATGACTGGTAAAATCTCATTAATTGAACTCTGTGTTCTGGAAATCCACCGAGAATAGTGAAATTAATTTTGGGGGGGACAGATTATTACAAAATTTCTGCTACTGCAAAGTTGGAGAAAACCTGTTGTCTCTGAAAAGACAGCATGAATAATTATTCAGATGCTTTGTCAATAATATAAATAGAGAGTCCTTTTCTGATTCCAAATAGATTATATACACTGAAAGCCTGACCATAGGTTTCTTATTAAACTCCATTAATGCAGTAAGTATCTGGAAACACTATACAAAGTTCTTTTGTCATTTCTACATAGGTGGTACTCATGGTTTGCCAATTTCTTGGAGGGTTTCTGTCTGACTTTCAGGAAACAGGTACACCAGCCTGGAACTTAAGCCACACAGCATCACAAAACAAATATCAGTACCAGAGCCGCGGTCTGGGGCAATCGCTCTGGTTTTCACTCAGGAAAACTCCTGTTTCCATCTTCCCTGCCCCACTAGTATTGCTGCAGTGAAAGAGTTGGTCTTGGCCTGCAGGGGAGGTGCTGAAGGTGATAAAAGGCAGGTTGGTTCTGGCAGCAGCAGTCCCACAATTTTTAGTTTGTTGTTTCAGCACCTGCATTGGTTCTGAGGGAAGCTTTGCTCCCTGAGGATGCCATCACACAGTGACAGACATTCACCATTTCAGATGCCACAAGAGCCTGTTCTCCTTTGTCCTCTGATAAAGACTCCCTTATTTAGAAGCTGCAAGTTGCAAGACAGCTCTTATCTCCTGAATGAACCTGCCAGGAGCAAGCTCTGACTTTAAAACACTTTCAGAGACTTCTCTGTCTATGCAAACAGTACCAATCTAATTCAGCTGGTTTAAAAAAACTAATTTATTGCATCTCTGTTGCCTAAATTAGTGGAAGTGGGTCTTTAGCTTGCTTGCATTTGATAAAGACAAGCCCTTAGTAAAGACTCTTGCGTTTCTGGGGATTTAACACAAAGTGCTGTTTCATATGAGAGCTAATTTAAGGAAGCAGTGGCTGATCTGTGAGCCTTGCTTTCAGCAGAGCAGACTGCAGTGGGACCACAGCAGCAGACACTCATCAATGATTTAATGTGAGCTCTGGCCTTTGGGGCATGGGCTGGGCACCGTCGGGGAACTTGCGGTTTGTTTTTTAAATATGAGTAAATCACATCTGCATCAAACCGAAGCTTTCATTTCATGGAGCTCTGAAAAAATCCCTGCCCTATTTTTTCCCCCCCTCTGGCTACAAGGCATCATTTCTAAAGCTTGTAAGTCAGACCATCTGTGCACTTTAGTTGAGAAACACTAGTAATCAAATAACCCTATTAATGGAAAACAAATCAGACAAAACCTTTTCAACCTTCAGAGCTTTTATGTGTTCAGTTGTGTTTTCCAGATGCAGTCTGTTCAGAACATACTGCAATTGCGGGGACCACCTGACAGCAGATTCTGTGGATTGGGCCGGAATTTGTAAGACAAGGCAGTGGGGAGGAATAAAAATAGGAAATGTTGTTGGTTTTCTTCTGAGCCTCAGGGAAGAGAAGTAATCGCTGCACAAATGTTAGGGCCAGCTGAATTCCAGTGTGAGTGTGTGAGCGCTCATTCCAGCCCACACTGGTGTGAGGAGGAGCCCACGCCGTGGGTTGTTGGTGAGTTTTACGAGCACGGGGGGGGCAAAGTATCTCCATCAAACCAGGCAGCGGCCACAGCCGAGACTGCAGGCGGCACCAGCAGGGCAGAAAGCATT